TAGCGGCATTTCGGCGTCAATTGATTGAATTGACAACAACAAAACAGTACGACAAACTCACTTACATTAAACATAGAATGTTTAATTTATTAACAAAACGAATACAAATACACCATGCTATAGGCCTAATATAAAATAACAAATAACTTAAACACTGAAAATCAGCAAACACGGTGGAACCAAATAAATAAGAAACAAATGTTAAAAAAGCTTCCAAAATCATCTTCGATAAACGGCAAAAGTCAAAAGGCCTTCCAAAGTCTAAAATATTTTTAAGATCATATGATATAAGTTTTAAATGAATAAAAATCTTAGTTTTTTAAAGTAAAAATCAAGGAAATTTGTCTGGCATTTCTTTGTTTTTGCTGTATCGAAAACATACCGAACCGTGACACCCCTGTGTCATATCGAACCGAACCGTGAATTTTGTGAACAGTTGCACCCCTAATATATAGAATCAGCCAATCGAGGTGAGCTTTTAATCCACCAATCAAAACACTCTTTTTTTGACTAGCGATGTGTGTTTATGCTGAAATGATAACAAAAAAAAAAGGTCCGTCTTTATAAATCTTCTACTGCGTGTCATTATATTTATCGAGTTGTCTCATGCAGTTTGTTTCACGCTTCAGAAATGTGACGGTAAGGCAGCATAGTGAGCGCCGATGCTCCCTAGAATTTGCGATGCATTGTGGGATTTTTCAGGGAGCGAACGTTCCAGTGCACTAGAAGGATTTCGCGATTGAGACAGCCCTTAAAATGGCCAACTCCCTGATCAGTGCCCTGACTACTGAACAAGGGAGCTGATTGAGAGCTGATTGAGACGCAGATTGAGAATTATATCATCCTTTGGTGTGGATGCTAATACAGTTATATTTAGCATTCTTTACCTTAAGACTCCATCACCATTAGTACTTATAGTTATTGTGTGAATTCCACAAAATAAATGTGCTTGTCATATTTATAGACAAGATTTATGGGGTTTAAAATGATTCGGGACATTTCAAGTTTTCATGCAATTTACCCTAATATGTGGATGAGAGAAATGTATAGATTTGAACATGAATATAAACATGTAAAGTCATTGATATGATTGCTATAGCGTTGTCTTATTGGACCTGATGCTCCGTGTGTGTGTCTGTGTGTGTGTGTGTGTGTGTTTGAGATGGGATGGGATGAATGGCATGTTAGTGGATGTTTTGGGCTGTGATGATCAGAATGTAGACTACAGAGCACAAGATGTGCTTTACACCCCTCAGCTCACACCTTGCTCTCTCCCCCTGTGCAGCGTAGGAGGGAAATGAGCAGTTCACATGAATTTTTCATGAAACTCTTTTCATAGATGCCAGCCATGATGCCACCAATGATGCCAGGAATGATGATGCCCCCACGCATGCCAGCTGCATCAATCCAGCCTACAGGACCGGTAAGCTAGCCTGTATATCACACTACTCCACCAGCGCCGGTTAAATATAGACCCTCGCATGCTGTCAGCAGTGTCAGAATAACCCTAATGAACACACTGCAAAGTGGGAAAATGTACCAATTTAGAATCAACACCATTTTATATAGCACTTACCCATGTGACACGAGTGATAGTAGCGGAAGAGATCGGCTTGCTCTACTAATTTATTTCAGTGTATGATGCTGTACGTCTCCTTCCCTGCATTAGCACACTTTGTTAGTATTCAATTTTAGTTAGACTTTAATAAAGGCATGATATCATGGACCGCAGGATTGTTCTTGCTTTTTTTAGTCCACACAGAACATTTGAAACTAAAGCACAAAAACAGCGTTCAGAAATCATCATGATTGATATCACAAAACATTCACATTTACAGCCTCTCAGAGAGGGTGGAAAATGGTAATGAAAAACAACAATGTAAATTAAGGTATCATCAGGAAGCAAACATACTGTAACTTTCAGAACTTAGTCCAAAAAGAACATTCATTAGGCATGTTTACATGCACTCATTTATTCAATCCAAAAAGTCTTGATTTCAGTTTCTGAAAGCTCTGTTTATAGTTCATTTAACTGTGTATTACATCTATTCTGAACAGAATCTCAGTGCTAGCTGCTGCTTTAGGAAGAGAGAAAGCCAAAAATATGTCTGAAAAACGTAAACACCAAAATTCAGTTTGTCGACATATGCTACTGTTCAAAAGATTTTATTTAGAAAAGTGAATAGAATGGTAAAAACTATAATTTATTTGAAATCATTTTTTTTGTTAAAGTGCTAAATTTTACTATCACTTTTCATCACTTTAATGCATCTTTTGCTAAATGAAAGTATTATTTTTTCTTAAAAAATAAATAAATAAAAATCTTACCTACCCCAAACTTTTGATTAGTGCAATACATTTAAGTCTCAGTGTAATTTAGTTTTGCAAAGAGGCTGTTACTGATGGATGGGGCAGTTAAAAACTGTGTTGAGCTCATTTTAAATCTGTCTTCAGCCAAAAAATGCAAACATTATCAAAGTTACTAACATTACAACATTAAATGTTAAAGTATATGATATGACCCACTTAATGTCTGCACTGCTTATGTATTTCCTTAAAAGGAAGGCAGTACCTACACATTAGCTCTGAATGTGATGGTGTATAATGTACATGGAGAGAAAAGTGTGGAAAGTGGAGTCATATCTGACCAATAACACGAAACAGACAAGTTCAATTAGAGTGGCTTAATTCATTTGTGTTTCAAAGCACTACTTCACTAGTGAATATGGATGAAAGGACACAGTTTCAGTTCAGTGTAGTGGTTAAACGGATCGTAGTTGATCCGTGATCCGTACGGACCAAGCCCCACGGTTCGGCACGCATGTGATCCGCGGATTAATTGCAAAATTGAACCATAATAGAGTATAAGTTTATCATTTGTTCGTATTTACACAAGCAAGCGAATTTTAAATAATTCCAGAGAGAAAAGGCAAAAGGGAACTCCATTCGTTACTCGCGCGCTGTTCTCTACACGCACAGCCGCACACACACGAAGCGCGCACACGCGTTTCAGACGGTGCGCGAACACCGAACTGAATCCTCTTCTGAATCCTCTGAACAGACACATACACATAAAATTGACAAAATACCCATCTCGACAATCATTCAGGTAAACGCAGTAAACGCAGTCTCAAGTGAATGAAAACAGCTGAGAAAGAAATCGGATGTGATGTGTATCATTATATCGGATCCGTGCATCAGGTCTTAAAGGGACA